TTTATTTAGCTGATAGTTGCCTGGCTCCATGGCACAGTGCTCTGGTAGACAGGCAGAAAATAGCAAAAGCAACAAGGGAGTTTAACATCATCTTCCTGCCACTTTGTCTGTTCAAATTAAATACCGCAGGTAGATTTCACACTTAATCCTAGTGCTCTTGAGCCTATCACGCCACAAGCCATAACATTCTGCTCCTGGATCCCCCCACAATTTATGAACACCTCTTTATGCAAATGGCATTTAGCCCATCTCTATGAGTTGCCTAAGTCCTAACAGTCTCAGCATTGTTGAAACGTTCATGTCCCAAGTCTCCTCTGAGATTGAAGGCAAAGTCTTAGATGCAAGTCTGTATGAATGAAAGTTGAATGCTTTCAACATTCAAAGGCACAAGATATCTCCATTCCAAAAGTTACAAAATGGGAGACCAGGGATATAGTTCAGTGGCATAAGTGCCTGCCTGGCAAGTACAAGGTCCTAAGATCAATCACCAGTACAAAAAAAAAACCAAAAAAACAAACAAACAAACAAAAAGTTACAAATGGTGATAGCAAAAAATGGGAGCAAAGCAAGATCAAAATCCAACATTAAATCCTACAGTTCCACTTTCAGCATCCCCAGAAATCCATGGAAATTTCTGAACTCAGAAGAGCTTGGGTATCTCCACTGCTGTAGCACTGTCAGTGATCACAGCTGGCCTCCCATGGTTTCCCTCTGGGGTGGGCTCTGCTCCATCCTTGCAGCTTTCCTCAGATGATCCATGTTTCTGGTTTCCCCAAACCTCTGGGGTCTCCACGCCCCTTCCGGCTTCACACACTGCCCACTGAAGGACACACTGTCTGGCCTACCAGGCCCTTTGAGTGGAAGTGAAATCTTCCTGACCTCACAACTCTTACATTCTGCATGTACCTAAAACTAGCACTGCGTGGTTGATGCCAAGGTCTACTGCCAGTTGGAATACCCAGGCTTCTTTCTCACTTGGCTGGAGGGTCCAAGTGCCCAGATCACTGAGCACTCTGAACCCAATTCTGAGGAACAAATTCTCTAGATCAATGTAATTCTTCAACATGGTGCTCTGGGGCTTTCTTCTCAAAGAAAAGTCTCATTTTTGCAAGGTTGAGGTTTGATGGATAGAGTGCTGCTGCTTCTTATGATGTCCTTAGTCCATCTTTTCTGGTCTCCAGTTCCTTCTCAGAAATCAAGATCTCCTCTGTTCTATCTTTGCAGTTCTCACCTTTCCTGGTGCTTCCTTTCTGGCCAAACCCACATTTTAACTCATTCTGTTGGGCTCTTTGCTCTAAAAGCCCCCAACAATAGCCATGCCACCGCCTCAACATTAGACTGCCTTGAAATTTGTTCTACGGGATTAATTAGTCCACCAACCTTAACCTCAGTCTCAAGAAAAGTATCTGGACACAAGTAAAAAGCAGAGAAGTTTACTGCCAAGGTATAATACACATTGTCTGGACTCCAAGAGCCAATGCAGTTCTTCCCAGCAGAAACCTCCCACCCTTCTTTATTGGCAGGATTTCTACAAGCCTTTTGGTCCTGTGAGCTCTGACCGGAATCTCCTATCAAGTACAGCCTCAGGCATTCCAGCTCTACTTTTTCAGCCAGCATCTCCAAATCTTTCCAAATTCTTCCAACAAGGCAGTTCCAAAGGCCTCTGGACCACATGGTCAGACACAGTCACAGCAATGGCCCCATTCTGGTACCAAATTCTGTCTTAGTTACTTTTCTCATTGCTGAGACAAAACATCTGGCACCCAAAGTTAAAAAGAGGAAAAGTTTCTGCCATGCTGGCCCCACCCCAGGAGCGCACTGACACAGCAACTGAGACTGGGCATGGTGGTATGCGCCTGTAATCCCAGCACTTAGGAGGCTGTAAACAGGAGGATTACTATGAATCCAATCTATGCAGTGAGTCCCTGTATACCCTGTACACCCTGTCCTAAAAATAAAAAAAAAAAAGGAAAAGTTTATTTAGCTCACAATTTATAGAGGTTTCAGTCCATAATTGCCTGATCCATAGCCAGGTGGTGTGGAAGACAGGCAACAGTTGGTAGCAGGCAGAAGGTAGCAAAAGTAACAAAGGACCTTAATAACATCTCTCTGACCCTTTTATCTTATCCAGACTACTTAGGGTGGAGAGCACTCACACTTTCATCCTAGTGCTCGTGAGCCTAGCATTGCCCATGAATAAATCTCAGTTTCATACACTGTAAACCCAACTGCCTCTAAAAAGCCCCACCCATGACTGAATCAGGCTTTGAGCGGGGACATCTAAAAACAAGCCATAACAGCTACCCTCCATTTATTCCATCTTTAATACAGACATAGTTGCACTGTAAAGGATTTGTAGAGAAAACACATGAAATCACAGTCCACAGAATTCTCACTGAACATTGCTCACTTTTTGTTTTTGTATCAGGAATTGAACTCAGGACTTTGCACTTGCCAGGCAGGTGTTGTGCCACTGGGATATATCCTGGTTCCCATACTTTTTTTTTTTTTCAGTGATGGAGATGTAACCCAGGCCTCACCCATGCTAAGTAAGCACTTTATCATTGAGCTATGCTTCCAGCCCTAAAATCTGCACACTGATCCCAATTTATTGATTACCTGACCAAAACCTACATTCTCCATAGGACTTAAAGACTCAGGGTGTCATTATATTAAAAATATGTAGAATGTGCCAAGCCTGGTGGTACATGCAGGTAACCCCAGATGCCCAGGAGGCTGAGGCAGAAGGAGAACAAGTTGAGACCACCTTGGGCTAAGCAAGGCCCTGACTCAAATTTTTTAAAAAAGGCCAGATATATAACTGTTTGAAACTCCTGGATTAAATCCCCAGGACAGGGAAGGTGGGAGGAAGAGGGAAGGAGGGAGAAGCACCATGAGTCTACTAGTGCCCCTGGGTTCAATCTATAGTACCAAAAGCAAAATAGAACACAATAAACACTACAAAACAGAAACAAGAATTCCACATTTTTTCCCACATGAACATTAGGGGATTGTGTGATAACACCAAAAGGGTCTTAGAGAAAGAGGAAAAAAATCAGTAAAACTGTTTGATAAAATAATGAGAATTTTCTCAAATTTGGTTTAAGACCTGAAGATTCAAGAAGTCCAGTAAAGCTAAAGAAAATAAAGGTCAAACAGAAAACTAGTAAAAGCTAAAGATTTGGGGGGTTTTTTGGTGTGTGTGTGTGTTTTTTGTTTTTGTTTTTGTTTTTGTTTTTTCAGAACTGGGGATTGAACTCAGGCCCTTGCACTTGTCATCTCTCAGGCCCCAAGACATTTCTTTATAATTCATATGACTGTCAAAAATATAAGACAGGGCTGGTGAGATGGCTCAGTGGTCTAAAGCACCTACTTGGAACAGGCTTGGCAGAGCACAGGGACCGCGGTTCAATCCCCAGCACCACATGCCAGCCACCCTGCCCCCTGGTGGGCTGAGCTGGCCACACAAACACACACACACAAATAAATAAAATAAAATAAAAAAATCTTGTTGTACATCATACATATATATAATTAAAAAAATATAAGATAGATATTTCAAATTATGTTCATACAGTAAGAATTGTAACATAAAGGTATAGGAGGAATATGACTTGTATATTAGGTTCTACATCAATTACAATGACAAAATATTCAATTTAGATAGAAAATTATGCACATCTTAATGAAAAAAAAAGTAAATGAAAATAAGCAGAGAGGGAAGAGGTTAATAAAAGAACAATGTTAATGGGGAAAGTGAGTGACAAATAGACCACAGACATAACAAATAGTACAGCTGACTCATAACATACACAGACACATTAAACATAAATTATCTAAACAGCAATTAAAAAGGTGGGTCCCACCTTTTCTGTATCCAGCTGGCACTCACAGATCTCTGCAGACCAAGCTTGTATCGGAGATGCCCCGGGTACCTACAGAGTGAACACAGAGCAGGAGCAGCCAGGCTGGGGATACTGTTCTTAACCAAGCAGATTTATTCAAATAAAACAGCTCTTGTGACATTTTCTCAAAAAAACTACTGCTCCCTGAAATCCAACTCATGCTATGTGGCAGGGCCCAGCGAGTCTCCCTATGGTCCTGCTTGCTCTGCTCTACTGTTTAAGTGATTCACACACTAGGGTAAAGCGGGTGGGAGTGGGGCATAGCCATCAACCCAGGACTCTAGGAGGCTGAGACAGGAGAATTTCCAGTTCAAGTTCAGCCTAGAAAATTAAGCAACTTAGGAAGATCTTGTCTCTAAATAAAAATAAAAAAGCTGGGAATGTAGCTTAATGCGAAATCCCTGGGTCAATTCCTTAGGAGGGAGGGAAAGAAGGAGAAGGAAGGAGAGACTGACTCTACTGTGACTCTATGTCCAGAAAGGAAGAAATGTGCATCAGCTCTAGGTCTACACTTCATTCGGTTACCAGAGAAAACGCTGATAATCCCATATTTTACTGGCTTGAAGAACATGGGCTTGACAGATGATTAATGTCACCATGAATTCAGCTAGTTTCATATACAGGACGAAAAACAACATCCAAAATTAACATGATTCCCTTGAATGTAGTTTAGTAACACAGATACTTAGCTCATTTCTATAATCCCTGCACTGGGGCTAAGGCAGGAAGGTTTCAAGTCCAAGTCCACGCAGGCAATTTTGTGAGACCCTGACTCAAAATTTAAAAAGCCTGGGTATGTAGCTCAGTAGTCCGGCATACCTGGGTTCAGTTTCTAGGTATTTCTGTGTCGCTGTACCTGGCCCCTCCACAACACACCGCACACTTAAAACTACTTGAGGGGCTGGTGAGATGACTCAGTGGTCTAAAGCACCTACTTAGAACAAGCTTAGCAAAGCACAGGGACCGCAGTTCAATCCTCCAGCCCCACATGCCAGCCAGCCCCGCCCCCTGGTGGGCTGAGCTGGCCACACACACACAAACACACACACACACACACAAATAAATAAAAATTTTTAGAAACTACTTGAAAAAAAAAGAACAGATTTTCTTAAAGAATGCGGAGTGGAAAAAAAGAGACTGAGCTTTCATTTAGCTCATTAAGTCTACAGGGGTTCGAGTACTATGGAGAGAGGCTTGTAAAAAAAGTATTCATGAGCCGGGCATGGTGGCGCACTGTGTCACATCTGTCACCCTGGCACTGGGGAGGCTAAGGCAGGAGGACTGCCACAAGTATGAGGCTACATCGTGAACTGAAGGCCTGGCTGAATTAGATAGCTGGCCCCTGCCTCAAAAAACTAAAGTTTTGATGAACATCGTTGCGGAGAAGACCCCAAACCACATCGGGCCTTCTGGTCCAATCCGCCTCTCACACCCAACTGCAGTCCCGCCCAGAGGGTGCGTTCTTTACTCAACTAAGCCCTCCGGGCCCTTTCTGCCTCACTCTCAGTGCCGAGTCAAACCCGGAGCCCTTCCCCGTTCACTTAAGATTAAAGTAACCCTCCAGCCCAACTCGGAAACCGCAACCCGGTCCAGTCCCTGCCGGAAGCGGAAGTGACATCATCAACCCAGCTCGGCCTTTATGACGCAATCTCCGGGCGACTCCGCTCCTCCTTCCTAGTCGTGGGCTCCCTGCAGTTTGCGAGCACGAGTTCCGTGGGAAGAGTGCTCCCTGAGGGAGAGAGGCTCGTTGAAAGCGCTGTGCGGAGCCGCCGCGGAGCCTGCACGCTCTGCTCGCGTCCCCTGAGCCGTATGCGGGTCCTGTTCCTGGAGGCCGCTCCAGCTGTCAGTCTGTGCGAGGTGCGGGTCACCAGGTGTCGTGCCACTGTCTTCGGGGTGTTCTATCCACTGTTTTGTTTTCTTCATATACCTCCAAACAGCCTTTATAAAAAACAGAAAATATTTTTTCCCAAAAGTAAAATAATTTCCGCCATTCGAGTCACGTTGACGACGTGCCCAGTGTCCTGCCGCCTCATGGACCTGGCGGTTGATGCGCGTTCGGGTGAGCACTGCGAGAGAACTGGGCGGGGCTGCGGGTGGAGCTCGAGGGTGGAGCGCTCGCTCTTTGCCACCTGGGTCCCCCTGCGCAGCACTGCGCATGCGCGCGCACACGCAGAGGTTCATGGGACCTCTTTCTCCTTAAAGCAAATGAATCTTTCATCAGAGAACTCGCCTCTTTTCATGAACTTGTTTTTCATAGTCACTGTTATGATTTAGATCTAAAGTGTCCCCCAAGAGTCATTGGTGTGGCGGGCGATTGGATTTTGGGGGCGTCATGTGCATCAGTGATGTGTTCCATGGCTGACTGTTGTAAGGAGGTGGGAGCCTGAACTGGAAGGGTGTTGTCCCATGCCTCTCGCCACTGCCTTTTCTCCGGCTGCGATGCGATGAAGGAACAGCTTTCCTTTGCAATGCCTTTCCACCTTGGCACCAGGCTACGGTGGACTGAACCTATTGAAACCCTGAGCCAAAATAAACGTCTCATTCTTTTTTTTTTTTTTTAATTTTTTGTGGGGGGGTGCAGCTCAGCCCACCAGGGGGCGGGCTGGCATGTGGTGCTGGGGGATTGAACTGCGGTCCCTGTGCTTTGCTAAGCTTGTTCTAAGTAGGTGCTTTAGACCACTGAGCCATCTCACCAGCCCCAGCGTCTCATTCTTTGAATTGTGGATGTTGGGTAGTTTGTCCCAGTAACTTTTTTGTCCTGGTCACTTTCTATTAGAAAGATAAACATCTCTTCTATGCTGTGAATGTTTCTGTATAAGACAGGGAATTTTTTAGCCCACAAGTCCTTTTGAAAAAATGAAGAATTCACAACCACCCTTTTCATCTGAGCATCCTAGACCTACTTACGTTCTCAGAAAACTTAAAAACCCAGTCTCCAGCCAGGAAGGATGGCTACTTTATTGTTCTAGTAAGAGTAATTGTGTTTACTACTGAGAAGATAGTTGCACTAAGTGTTTTTTCCACATTTTTTAGAACACTGAAACAGCTTACAGATCATTTTAGTATAAAGTTATAAAATGTATATGCATTGTAGTAGGTGTACTCATTTTTAGCATTTTTTTGGTGTTTGCTCCCAGATAAAATACTTAAATCAGGTAATGGTACACAAATCAGCTTTTGTGTATACATGAAGGAAGGGGATTATAGGGGACATACCAGAAAGTGGAGATCATACTGCACCAGCCCCAGCGTGGTTACAGCCCACTGGGTGATGCAAAACTTTCCTGGGTTCCTCTGGACCTGAGCTGCGTAGCTCATGCACCATATGCGGGGGGTAAGGAGGCAGGAGGCAGCAGAGATCGCCAGGCTCATGTAAAGGAAGCGTGGCCTGGAACTCATTGTGCCTGTGCCTATAGGCAGAGAGTGCAATGAGACCATCTACAGTGAAGAAAGAGAAGTGTGTTCTCTTTGGGAAGATTAGGTGGGAAGGTTCTAATACACATCTGTGGCGAAGGTCCTCTGGCAGCCTTATACCTCATGGACAGCATCCTTGAAGTGTCTGGTGTAAATTCTTGGGTATCTCGGGATATCCCAGAACCTACAGAACTCCTTGTCCCATCTTATCTCCTTTCCTGTTCTTGCCATTACAACTCTGGTACTGAGCTGAGTTCCCTGAAGGGTAGTGCTTCTGCCTGCATGCAGGTTGGGACTGGGGAGTCATGTCTGGCTTAAGTCGTACAAAGTGGTTCGTGTAAGCAGGCAAGCAATGGTCAGAGCAAATGCTCACTGCCGTAGGGCACCATATGTGTTACAGAATAGGAGGAGCCGGGCACCATGAGAAACAGGGGTCTTTGAACGCATGGCATTTGCTTTGAGAGTAGGGTGGCCATGCTGTGCCAGGGTGTGTGTGAACTTGGGCTGCAGCACAGGTGTGCAGGGGAACTTTGTTGCCATGCTGTTGAAAGGCCTGGGTGGGGAGTGAAACCCTGGGATGCAAGCATAGAGAGTGGGTGCATAGGAGGAGAGGTTGGGCTGACATGCAGTAGACATCCTGGAATTCACAGTGTCTGTGTCAGAGACACAGAATGTAAGCCATCAGGCTGAGAGATGCCTGCACAGAGGGACTGTCCTAGTAGCCTTTGTGTGTTAGGTGTACTTAGGAGAGTCACAGGAAGATGGTGCATGAGCAAAGGACAAGATTGAATCCCCCAGGGCCTGTGGAGTTGTGGGCAGAGCCTCACATCCTTTGCCCTGCATTATGGATTCCCCAAGCCAGGGAGATAGCTCAGTGGTTTAGGAGCCTTCCTGGCAAGTTCAAGGTCCTGAGTTCAATCCTGGGTACTGGTAAAAAAAAAAAAAAAAAAAAAAAAAAAAATTCCCGCAAGCATGGCTGCATTCAGCACCAGAGTTTCCTTTCCTGTTGCTCAGCCCTTCATTGCCTCCTGCACAGACTGAGCAGAACACGGTTATTGATTAAAAACTCAATAAAATAAATAAATAAATAAATAAATAAAGACTCCAGCTCATCACAACAATGCAAGGGTTGAAGATGAATCTGAAGTTAAGATAAATTCATTGATGACATAGTCCACACTTGGTCTGCTCAACAGATGGGACAGCCCGGGAGAGGATAGCTGTACCTTGCACACACATTTCAATTCCCTTACAGTACTAAAGCTGAAGTGTTATTGTAATAACTTAGTATTGCAACACTAAAATAAGTTTCTACCTAATAATATACAAGGGAAGAGGTTCTCACCCTTCCTTGTAGTAAAGAGGTACACAACCCCCATCAAAGGTCATTAGTATCTCAGATTTAGTGACATTCTCACTAAATCTTGTTACTTAAAGATTAAATTATGTTTCTCCCTCTAATAATTACATATGAAATAAAGTGAAGAAGATAGAAGTGATTAGTTTATATAAATACATGTGAATATAAGGAAACCTGCCAATAGCATGTTCTGTAGGATGTCATTGGTATACAAGTACCTAATTTACTGCTTCAGGGACCAATTCCATACATCCCTTGCCTCTGCCAGAACTTCTGAGTTGTGTAACCTCTTAGTAAAACAAGTTTTGATTCCCAAAGAATCTAAATCTTCCCGTGGCTTTCCTTTTCACAGTTGTTTTACTTTGTCAACATTTTCTTCTTACCATTTTTTTAAAGGGATGGGTTCTTCCTGTCCTGCCCTGATTGGCTTCAAACTTCTGGGCTCAAGCAACCTTCCTACCTCTTTGTCTTAATTACTTTTCTTGTTGATTGAACAAAATACTCTTAAAGGAGGAGAGGTAGATTTTTGGCTCACAGTTTGTAGAGCTTTCAGTCCAAGTCGACTGGCTTCCAGGCAGGAAGGCTTGGCGGAAGGGCCTGGGTGGAAGGCAGCTTCTCAGGTATGGCAGAACAGGAGGAGCTGGGGGTGAGATGAACCCAGGCCCCGCCCCCAGCAGCCCACCTCTTCTGGCCAGACCCTACTTCCTACAGCAAGCAAACTATTATAAACCCCATAACCCAGTCATCTTCCAAAGTTCCCATGTTCGGTCACATGACTAGTTATCAGCTCTGATACTCGGCTTCCCAGGTATCTGGGATGACAGGTATAGTCACACCTGGCTGCACATACATTGTTTGGGGAGGATGAACACCTGCCAGGTTCCAGGCTTCACACTCATTACCTCAGTTACATAGCATTTCCTCAGTTTCCCTTTGGTAACTGACCTCTGGCAATCCAGAAGGGAACCCCCAGCCTCTCATATTGCCTCTTAAGAAGAAGCCCAAGTGGCTGGATAGCTGTTTAATCTTCTGAGTTATTGAGACTATTGTTGTGCCCCGGGAGGTGAAGATCTCCAAAATGCTGCAAATTACTGGGCTTGGAATCAAAATGTTGTTCTTTTTCTTCATCCTGGAGTGTACCAGCAACACAGGCAGTCAAGAGTTCATAGTCAGGGGCTGGCGAGATAGCTCAGTACTATAAAGAGCCTGCTTAGGCAAGCACAGGGACAGGGACTTGAGTTCCAACCCTGGCACTACATGCCACGCCTGAGCCAGACACACACACACACACACACACACACACACACACACACACACGGACAAGGGCTAGCTAGATAGCTCAGCAGACTAAAGTGCCTGCTTAAGCAGAGCACAGGGGCCAGGTTCGATCCCCGCCATGCTGTGCCAGCCCTGCCCCCAGGGCATGCTGAGACAGCAATTGAGACTGGGCAAGGTGGTGCACGCCTGTAATTCCAGTGCTTGAGAGACTGAAAACAGGAGGATCACTACAAGTCCAATCTATGTAGTGAGACCCTATAGACCCTGTAGACTCTGTACTAAATACTTTTTTAAAAAAATTCATGGACAAACTTACAGTCAGGTCCCCAGCATCTCTGCTTAACAAGGTGAAATGGAACTTTTATGCTGTCTGAATCTAGATTTCATTTCGTTTGGGTTTGGTTTTTGTAAGATAATACTTGAGATTGAATCCAGACCTTTTATATTGAGCTATATCCCAAGCCCCCTATCTTACTGTTTTGTTTTGTTTTATTTGATTTGATTTGATTTGATTTGATTTGATACAGAGTCTTGCTACACAGCTCAGACTCACAGTGATCCTCCTGTGTCAGCCTCCCCAGTGCTGTGATTACAGGCATGCACCACCACATCTGGTTTTGGTGACTGGCATGGTGCCCCCGGGATTCCAAGGCCAGCAAGCCATGTAGTACCAGGAATGGAACGTGGGTCCTTGGGCTTGCCAGGCAGGCACTTAGACCTCGGAGCTATCTCCCCAGCCCTTGTTTTTGTTTTTGAGTCAGGGTGTCACTAGGTAGTTCAGGCTCATTATGCAACCCAGGCTGACCTCAAACTTGGAGTCATCTCCTGCCTCAGCCTCACAAGTGATGGCTTTATAGGCATGCACCACCATGCCCAACTTAAGATAGGGTCTTACTAATTTCCTTGGGCTTTAACTTGTCCTCTTGCCTTCTCCTGGCTTGAATCTAGGTTGTTTCCAGCAATAATGATGCCAATGTGAAAGGTTCATTAAGTGACTCTGTTTATATACAGTGCAAATTCATTCATAATGGGCTCAGTACATGATGATGTGTGTTAATACTCTGGTGACTGATGATGAAGTATTGCTTGGAAATCACTGGTTGATAGCAAGGACTTCAGATAGCCCTGCTGCAAGAGGAATAGAGGTTTCTACCAGTCACTGGTTCATAAGCCAGCATGAAGTGCATCTTGGCTTCCAGGGAAGGGGCACATTTCACCTGGAGCCTCACAGGGTGGCAGCCATTGATTTGGCCCCAGCCCTGTCCTGTTGATGCTCTGCTTTTATCCTCTCTAAACAATAGATTCTGCCAGTGGGCAGGGCCTCCACAGTCACCCTACCCTTCTGCTCTTTATGAAATGTCAGAGTGGGCTGGCAAATGCCAGTATGTTTGTCAGCCTCCTGGCATATGTCCTGTGTAGTCTCCTCCATAAGATTTATCACCATAGGCAAGTGCAGACTTAATTTCCATGGGTTTAAATTTTCTTACTAAATTTCACACTAAAACTCTTACTAAATTTTCTTACTAAAAAAAAGAATCTTTTTTTCTTACCTGCTCCAGTGTAATGGTGCACACTTGTAATCCCAACACTCTGAGAGGCTGAGGCAGAGGATCAAAAGTTGATGCCTACAGCAATTAACCACTAAGAAGAATATATGCAGTGTATTATTTGTTGAAAAATAAATAAATAAATAAATAAATAAATAAATAAAAAATAAAAAAAGTTGATGCCTAACCTGAACAATTTAATGAGACCCTGTCCTTAAAAACAAAACAAACAAACAATAAAAGATAAAAATGGCTGGGTATGTAGCTTAGTAAGAGAACTCTGGCTTTGCCACCAAACAGCAAAAAAAATCCTTAGTATTCCTTACCTGTAAAAGGAAATTATTGCAGTTTTTCTGGGGAACAACATGCCTCACCATCCCTTTTTTGCTATAAATGAGAAAGAAGCTATGGCATCATGAGGCAGTAAGGGTGTGTGTGTATGGCGGGGGGATTACATGGGAATTTCGTACTAGAATGGAATGACCTCTGGTATGCATACATAGGGATTTGCTCTGTTCTGGATTCTCATGCCTTCTCTTTTTTTCTAGAAGCCCTTATTTCTAGGGACCCAGTCTTCTTTCTTGAAGAAAAGATGAAGAAAGAAAGGATGATGGCTGACTGCCTGAAAAATTGCCATCAGGTATGCAGAACCTGTGTCCCACAAATTGACGGGCTTGCCCCCACCAGATGGAGACATTTCCAGGCAAGGTGGACTTGTGTCCCCTCCTTAAAGCCAGGAAAGCCTCAGCCAAGGACTGAGTCCCCAGCTGCTTTCCTCACAGAGCCACGTTGCTCTTATAGATAATGCGTGACCTGAAAGCTGTTCCAAGACATCAGTAACTACTGATTAATGATGATATTCATAGTGACAGGGTATGTTTTTTTTTTGCCAAGTACTCTGATATTAAGAAAAAAAAAGTGTTCTTTCCTGTGAAAGTTTATTAATCCTTGTCTATCAAATGTATGCATATGTTCAGAAGCTGTACTTTAATAGTATAGAATAAGAGAAGAGCTCTGGGCTGGTGAGATGGCTCAGTGGTCTAAAGCACCTACTCAGAACAAGCTTAGCGAAGCACAGGGACCACGGTTCAATCCCCCAGCACCACATGCCAGCCAGCCCCGCCCCCTGGTGGGTGAGCTGGCCACACACACACACACACACACACACACACACAAAATAAATAAATATAAAAAAGATTTTAAAAAAAGAGGAGAAGAGCTCCAAGTCCAGTTGTGGGAAGAAGAGCTTGAGTTTCAGAAGGGCCTTGCAGCCCCTTGATGGCAGGACATGGACAGTGAGCAGATGTGGGTAGAGGAAAGGTCCCTAGGACCGCGGGGTCCTGGGAGGGCAGTGGAGGCCCTCGGAGTCCAGTGCGGGCCTCAGCCTTGCCCCCCTCATCTCTGGTGAATGTTGGTGGAGGTCACTGCCGTTACGTGGTACTCAGGCTGGCCTGTGTGTGGTGATTCAGGACTTGGTGACCTTTGAGGATGTGACCGTGGACTTTACCCAGGAGGAGTGGGCCTTACTGGATCGGGGTCACAGAGACCTTTACAGAGAGGTGATGTTGGAGAACTACGAGAACCTGGCCTCCGTGGGTAAGAGCACCGCCATGCCAGTGGCCTCGAGGGGAGGGGAAGGATGTTGTGTATTTCCTGTGTCCCAGCCTGAGTAATGTGGACTGTGAGTCCCCAAGGAAATAAGAGGGGTACAGCCTCTGCCCCAGGACAGTAGCCCTGCTTTTACCTTTAGGAGATTTGTCCCAAGACCCCAGTCAGCTGCTGAAACTACAACAAAGCCTGAACTCAGGTACAGTTTTAGTAATGCTTTGAGGTACAGTAGCAAAGGTAGCATGAATTTTTTCCTTCACAATTTCACAAATTGATGATTCCTTTTTATAGATAACAGCTATCTCAATATATAATTATTCTCCTTTTCTTATTAAGTCAATGACTTTTTTTTTAGACACAAGATTTTTTTTTATAATTTAATATTTTTTAAACTTTATTTTATTTTATTTTTATTTATTTGTATTTGTGTGTGTGTGTGTGTGTATGTATGTGTGTGTATGTGGCCAGCTCAGCCCACCAGGGGGCGAGGCTGGCTGGCATGTGGTTCTGGGGTACTGAACCGTGGTCCCTGTGCTTTGCTAAGCCTGCTCCAAGTAAGTGCTTTAGACCACTGAGCCATCTCACCAGCCCCCAGACACAAGATCTTGCTATATAGTTTAGGCTTGTCTTGAACTCACTATGTAGTCTGCGCTAGCCTCAAACTTGTGGCAATCCTCCTACATCAGCCTCCCAAGTACTAGCATCATGGCTGTGTACCACCAGCTAAGTCAACAACTTTCAGTGTTTCACTTAAGTGAAACACTGTAGAGTTTCTCCAGATTAGCAGCATATGAGGCTGCTGTGAAATGAAACAAGGGTCACTTGAACACGAACACTCATGGCCTGTCCTGGTAGGTTTCACAGCTACTAAAGGACCGTTGTACATCCTAGGTGGGACTTTGTGGACTTTCATCATTTATTCAGAATATAAATTACTTCTGGAATATTATTGTCCATATTTTGGGGAAATAGATGATGGTATGTTCCTGAAACTGCGTAAAGCAAAACTGTGGGTAAGGGAGACCACTCTTAAATTTCAGTCTAATGTGGTGGTTGTTAAAATGTCCAAAATCAGCACCAGTGTCTTCATCCTGTTAGAAATACTACAAGTCAGTCTCCTTTTTTGACTCACTGAATCAGGAACTCTGCATATGGGGCTGGAGAGATAGCTCAGTAGAATAAGTGCTTGATTGGCAAGTGCAAGGGCCTGAGTTAAATCCCCATTTCTGCCAAACAAACAAATGAAAAAAAGAATTCTGCATAGATTCTAGAAGGTTTTGTTTTGTGGAACTGAGGGTGGAATGCAGAGCTTTGTGCCTGCTAGGTAAGCCACCACGCTACACTCCTAGCCCACGTCATATGATTTCTGACAATCCAGCCACATAAATCAGACATAATACAATTTGTGAGTCTCTGATAGTTTTATTTCCCAGAACAAATATCTCTTTGTTTCATTTGGATTTTTCTGTTTGATTCATAGTGTTGTATTTTGTTAGTGTGAACATAAGCATTAATTTGGTTTCAGGGTTTAGTGAGCATGAATCATTTTGGGCACAGAAAGATATTTTTATGCATAATCCTTTTGTAATAATTGCCTTGCTTTCACTAGAAGCATTACTCCTGAATTAAACTGAGTTTGGGGCTCTCTTGCCTGAACTTCTTGCCTAGATGCATCTTTTCCCATGTGCAGGGTGTGAGCTTGTCAAACCCAGTCTGATCTGGTTGGAACATGAAGAGGACTGGAGGACACAGCAGAGAGGAGATCGCCAAGGTGAGTGTCCTTGAAAGACAACCCTGATCCAAGAGAGTTAAGCATGGGAGTGTAATAACAAACCTTCAAGGTGCACTTGATATCAGAAGCTTCAGGCACTTATCTGACAAGGTAGGAAATCTTCAACTTCTCATCCTGTTTCTGCCTGATCACACTCTACTGTGATAAAATAAATGACTTCTCTTTTGTTGTCACAATGTTGTTTATTTTTTGTTTAGGTCTTTGAAACTTTTTGTTTCTAATAATATTCACCATTAATTTTAATTTTTCAGAGAATCTGTAATAGAATGTCTAAAACTCAGGCCTATAACGTTACCATTGGGAAATGTTTGACCTACATAATATGTTCAGACTTTTTTCATCTTCTTTTACCCCTCCCTCAAAATGGGGATTGAAGCCAGGGCCTGGCAGATGCTAGGCATGTGCTCAACCACTAACCTGATGTTTCTGGAGTTTGAGTTTTTTAAATACCGATGGAAATGAGTCCTATCTTTTTTTTGTGGCCAGCTCGCCTGCCCTGGGGACAGGGCTGGTATAGCATGTGGTGCTGGGGATCCAACCAGGGTCTCTGTGTTTGGCTACGCTTGGCTAAGCAGGCACTTCAGACCGCTGAGCTATCTCACCAGCCCAATGAGTCCTGTCTTTGTGCATACCTGTATGCGGTACTAGTCATTGAATGCAGAGCCTCATGTATGCTAAGCAAGGTCCTATACTTCTGAGCTGTATCCCCAGCATTCCTGTCATTTCTAATTCCTACAGTCTACCATTTTTTTCTCTAAATATGAATTTAATTTAAATTTTTTTATTTTCAGAATGGGAAATGCAACTTAGCACCAGAGAGTCAGCATTTGAGCAGGGTATTCTAATAAAACAAACTTCGAGTGGGATACTAATGGTAAGTTTAACAAAAGATGTTTTTTATTTCCCACACTAAGAGAACATTGTGAACTCCATTATAGAATGTAAGTAGCATTCACCCAGGAGGAAGCGGTGTTTCTGGAGAGAGAACTCTGCATATAATGAGTTTGGGAGTACCTCAAATACGTGGTGAAATCTCTCTTTCTTCAGAGGTCCCATAGTACCTATTGCCACAAGAATAACCAGATACTGGCTTTTTTTTTTTTTTTTTTTTTACTGGAAAAAAAAAAAGAAAAGATTGACAGTTCTTTTGCAGAAAAATCAATGTGAGAGATACTCAAAAGAGATGATGCTTACCTTAATGTGAGAAAGGTCTTTAGAAGGATGTTCTGAGTGGGATGAATTTGAGGTACTCTAATACTAGGTCAAAACTTGGGACCTCTGCCAGACATGGTGGCATTCAGGAGGCTGTGGCAGGAGGATTGCCATGAGTTTGAGGCCTGTTTGGGGTACAGAGTGAGTTTAAGGCCAGATTACACTACAATATAAGACCTTGTCTCAAAACACAGACAAAAATTTGAGGCTTCAGAGTTTCCACAAGTACATATGCCCACATATATAACTGGGCAGAGCTTCTTAAAAGAATCTTATGAGAATATACAGGAATCCATGCAAGGTTAGAACAATAATTGGCACAGTATCCTTGCTTTCATTAAACTTGAGAGAAATCCACAGAACAGGAATTGTAAGTATGTAGTGAAAAAGGCAAAAATAATAATAATGTATCTCTTCAAATAAGTAAAATCCATTAAGTCTAAAAAAAATCTTTGACTATCATTCATCTCTTCAACAGGCGGGAATCCCCAGTGCAGGGGAACACGGTGACTATAAGCACTGGGGAGAAGTCTTCAGTGAACACTCCTATTTCAAGACACACATGAAATCTCAAAATTCAAGAAATACTTTTGACTCTGGTCTGGATAGAAAGCCCTTTTCTACTCTGAATATGAAATCTTCTTCTGGACAGAATATTTCTGTGTTAAATGAATGTGAAATGACTGTTAGCCCAACTCCAAATGTTGCTTACCAGAGAATGAACATGCAGGACAAACCTTTTGGATGTAGTGACTATCCCTTCCTTAGTAAGTCATACTTTCAGACATATGTGAGAAATCATAATGGGGAAAAGCTCTATGAATTAAAGCTATTTGCAAGAGATTTATTGTATTCCAAAAGTGGAGTTGTACCTTTTCAAATGTATACCATCAAAGCCTACGAATGTAAGGTTTGTGGGAAAGTCTTTGGATACTCCTCAAATCTCAATAGCCATATGCGAACCCACACTGGGGAGAAACCATATGAATGTAAGGTTTGTGGGAAAGTCTTTGGATATTCCTCAAATCTTAATAGCCACATGCGAACCCATACTGGGGAGAAACTCTACGAATGTAAAGAATGCAAGAAGTCCTTCACTACTTCTTCAAGCTTAACAGAACATTTCAGAATTCATACTGGAGAGAAACCCTATAAATGTAAGGAATGTGGGAAAGCCTTCACAAAGCGCTCAGGCCTTGCCTCACATGTACAAACACATACTGCAAAGAAGCCTTATGTATGCAAGGCATGTGGCAAATCCTTCAGTGTTTCTTCAAACCTAACTGAACACTTCAGAATTCATACTGGAGAGAAACCCTATCAGTGTGAGGAATGTGGGAAAGACTTTCATGCAGCTTCCTACCTACATAAACATGAAAGGATTCACACTGGAGAGAAAACCTACGAATGTAAGGAGTGTGGGAAAGCCTTCCACACTTCCTCCAACCTACGGAAACATGTAAGAACTCACAGTGGAGAGAAACCTTATGAATGTAAGGAATGTGGGAAAGCCTACAAAAGGTGTTACCTGCTGACTGAACACTTAAAAACTCATATGGTGGAGAAACCCTTTGAATGCAAGTTATGTGGAAAATCTTTTAGAAGTTCTGCCTGCCGGAATAAGCACATTCGAATTCACACAGGAATCAAACCTTATAAGTGTAAGTACTGTGGGAAAGACTTTACTGTTTCTTCAAGTCTGACTGAACATACACGAACTCACACTGGAGAACGACCCTATGAATGTAAGGAATGTGGGAAATCCTTCACTACATCCTCATGTCTGATTGTTCATAAAAGAACTCACACAGGGGAGAAACCCTACCAATGTAAGGAATGTGGGAAAGCCTACAAAAGGTGTTACCTGCTGACTGAACATGTGAAAACTCACACAGGGGAAAAGCCCTTTGAATGTAAGGTATGCGGAAAATTCTTTGGAAACTCCTCATGCCTTAATAAGCACATTCGTATCCATACTGGAATAAAACCCTATAAGTGTCAGTACTGTGGGAAAGCCTTCACCGTTTCCTCAAGTCTGGCTGAACACATCAGAATACACACAGGGGAGAAGCCCTATGAATGTAGGGAATGTGGGAAAGCCTTCACAACATCCTCAAACCTATATCACCATGTAAGAACTCATGGTAGGGAGAAGCTCTGTAAATATCAAGAATGTGGGAAAGCCTACAATAGGTTTTACCTCCTAAATGAGCATTTAGTGACGCACTGAATAGAAACCCTTTGAGTGGGGAAAATGTTGAAAATCCTTTAAGAATTCCTCAAATGTTAATTATCACACTGGAATTTATACTGGTGAGAAATCTAAGGATTGAGGAGCAATCTTAATTTTGGCAATTTATTTTAAAGACACTAAAATCTCTACTCTCAAGATCCTCTGTGAATTAAGGAATCTGTGAGGTTATTTGAGTCTGATCACAAGGCATCATGGTAAGAATTTACCCTTGCCAGGCCTGGTGGTTCATGCCTGTAATCACAGCACTTGAGAGGCTGAGGCAGGAGGATCACTGAAAGTTTGAGGCTAGCCTAGACTACATAGTGACTTCAAGGCCAGCCTGAACTACATAGTGAGACTGTCTCAAAAAAAAAAAGAAAAGAAAAAAAAATCTATCCTGAAGTAATGTGATGCAACAAATATGAACAATCCTCAGTGTTTCCTGGGGACTTAATAAAGGTGTAAGGTCTTTCAGTGGAGGAAACTCTGTTAATATACAAGATATTGAAAAGTTGTAATTCTGCTAAGTACTTTGGTGTTCCCTTTTGATATCACAGTAGAGAATAATTTTTTTAAGGTAAGGAAAGGTAGAGTCATTTTGTATTTGTATTGTACTACAAACTGAGCCCAGGGCTTTAAGCATGCTAGCCAAGCATTCCACCACTGAACTACATGCCAAGATCTTTTACATTGAGATAGGGTGTCACTAAGTTGCCCAGATTGGCCTCAGTCTTGGGATTCTTCTGCCTCAGCCTCTCAAGTAGCTAGGACCCAGCTACAAAGTTGTTTTCTGCATGTCATTTTTGTACAATCTCATAAACATAAAGATCCACAACAAAGATAAACAATATTTCTTTTTTTTTATTTATTATTTGAGAGAGAGAGAGAGTGTGTGTGGTGTGTGTGTGGCCAGCTCAGCCCACCAGGGGGCGGGGCCGGCTGGCATGTGGTGCTGGGGGATTGAACCGCTGTCCCTGATGCCTTGCCAAGCTTGTTCTAAGTAGGTGCTTTAGACCACTGAGCCATCTCTCCAGCCCCAACAATATTTCTAATACAGGAATAGCATCTGTGTGTCCTGAAATCTTGGTGCTGACAGGAATATAGCCTTTTGAGTGGCTTATTCTGAACATTTGTGAACCTTTCCTGGTTATTCCTGGACTGATGAATCAGTCCTGTGTAGTAATGATATTCAACTCAAGTTGCTGTATCTTATAGGTTGCACCTGATCAAAAGTGATATCAGTCACCTGAATTTATCTTATCTTTATGCCTGTAGGATTGAACCCATACTACTGAGGTACACCCCAATTCCTGTTTACCAATGTAGATTCAATGGTTGGTTTGTCATGCTCTTAAAGAAGGTTGATTCACTTCCAGTACCTCACAGCAACCAAATTTTGGCTCTAATTCCGCTACCAAGTTATATTTTCCTATATTTTATTTATTTATTGATTGATTGATTGATTGCAGAACCGGGGATTGAACTCAGGCCCTTGCACTTGCCAGGCAAGCGCTTATCCTGTGGAGCCACTGAGCCATCTCCCTGACCCCATACATTTTCCTTGTTTCTGTCCTGCATCTGATCCTTTCAGATCAAAGATCAAAGTACCAAAAGGAGTGAGTGGAGAGGGGCTGAGTGACCTCAATTTCATGGCCATATAAGAAGAGAGCCATACTCTATACCTAAGAACGGGAATTCCTGTAACATTGGGCAATACAGGAAGGGAGTGAGGGTCTCAAACTTTATTTTTCTCTGTAGATCTATTCTACAGATTGGCAAAACAATCTTGAGTCAAGAAGCAACTCTGGCTGACAGAAATACTGTTCTCTGATTTGTCTTTCCATGTACTGTGGAAACAAAAACTATGAACAAGTGTTATGGCACATACCTTTAATCCTAGCACTCAAGAGGCAGGAGGATTGCTGTGCATTCAAGGCCAGCCTGAGTTACATAATGAGTTCAAGCCAAGCCTAAGCTACATAGGAACACCCTGTTTAAAAAAAAAAAAAAAAAAAAAAAAGAACATGCTAGTTGTCAAATGTCCTATTCCTTGGTGCTGGAAACCATCATGGCACTTCCTGAATGTGACCTTTGGGTGCAGACACCCAGAAAACCAGATTTCAGTCACAGTGGTCACAATTTTGTATATTGCTGGGTTATGGATTATGTTGTGATGGCCATAAGGGTTGTGGCTGTTTGGTGGCTCTTCAGCTAGCCAGTGTGCTCTAACCCAAAACAAGGCAAACAGTAAATCCTAAACAGAAGAGACCTGTGTACCTTCGTGTAGCATAAATGTTTACAAGTGAGGAGTGAGTGATGGAGTGGTTCTCCTGTAGGATGAATGTTGCTATTTAGACCACAGGCTACCACCTTTCTATGTTGGCAGTGATACCAGAATTAATCAGATCAGTCTCATATCTCTGGTGTGATTTTCACTGGTCATAGATTAACCTAGCTACCACCCTGATGGTCCAAAATAAGACTATATCACTGGGAACTCATCCAGAACTTAAGAATAAGCAAGTGTGGGTCATGGGTGAGGTACATATCAAAGGTTGACCTCACCCTTGAACTTAGATTCTTTTTGATAATGTCATTAACAAATGACAGCCTAGAGTCACAACCCACGTATTCCCCTTCCTGAGAAGCTCCTTGCTGATTAACACATCCTTCAATGCCAAGACCTCACCTTTGGAGGTGACCTTCCTTTCTTCACTGGAGATGAACCTCCATGGTAGAATTTCCATGGACCAGTGCTCCTTGGGCACAAAACGTGCATGAAAGAGTTGCTTTGGTATTTGGAATTCTATGTATGTCTGAACTTGGTAGTGATCTGCCTATGGCTTAGTTACTGTTCTCATTGCTGACACAAAATACTTGACACCTAAAGTTAAAGGAAGAAAGGTTTATTTGTTCATAGTTTGTAGAGGTTTCAGTCCATAGGTGTCTGGCCCCAAGTTGGGGTGGCATGGGAGAGGGGCATCACAGAGGAGAAATAATTCACAGCAAACAGGCAGGCAAGAGCAAAAACCAGTGAGCGGCCTTGTTCAGTCCCTTATGTCTTATTCAGGCTACCCATCTGTGGGGTGGGTAGCATACCCTTAATTCTAGTGCCCTTAGTCCTAGCATTGTGTGAATCAATCCCAGCATCACATACACTAGATCCAGTCCCCTCTAAAAAAGCCCCACCTGTGACTGCATAAGGGTTGGGAGGGGGACACATCTAAAAAAAAACCATAACAGCCTATGATCCTAATGTAATCTAAGCCAAAACATACAGCTCTATGCCCCATGCCCAACAAGGAAGTTTGAATGGGGTACTGTACTGCTATCTGTGCTATCTAAAAGTTGACATGTTTTTTGTTTCCTCAGGAGACTTATGAGTCAAACCACTGACACCCCAAAGGGGAGAGTACTGTCTTGGTGCCTTCTACTAACTCCTACTGATTTCCATGCTTTGGGGTTTTTTTGTTTGTTTGTTTTGTTGTTGTTTGTTTGTTTTGCGGTACTGGGGATTGAACTCAGGACCTTGCACTTGCTAGGCAAGCACTTACTCTACTGAGCTATCTCCCCAGCCCTGATTTCCTTGTTGATCTTATTCCTTCCTATTGAATTCAAAGAAAACCACTTATTTTTATGTATTTTTCCTAATATATGTGTTTATAACCTCAAACAACATGCCATCTTGATTAATGTCACACAGGCTTTTAACCCACTTTACAACACTACAAAAATACAATTATTGAGGCTTGTGAGATGGCTCAGTGGTCTGAAGCACCTACTTAGAACAAGCTAAGCTAAACAAAGCACAGGGACCGCAGTTCAATCCCCCAGTACCACATGCCAGCCAGCCCCGCCCCCTGGTGGGCTGAGCTGGCCACACACACACACACACACACATAAATAAAATGTTTTTTTTTTTAAATACAATTGTTGACCCCTCAATTTCATCTTTGTTTTTGAGCAATACCATGTATACTGGAGAGCTTGATTATAAATAGGCCTACAGATGGTGCATATCTTTCTACCTACATTTCTCCTTGTTACTCTCATAAGGAGGTGTTATGTGTGCTCTTTAGGGCCACTTGTGCCCTATGGTCTGAATATTATCATCTTCCAAAAACTTTCTGGCTTGATCAGCTACCTGAGGAGTAACTGTATTAGTCAAGTGTTCCATTTCCTATATATTAGGGTACATTGACACACTGAAGGTCATATTGCCTAGAGAGACTACCGTCCCTAGGGCTAGTATTAAAAATAACTTTTGAGGGGCTGGAGAGATGGCTCAGTGGCATAAGTGCCTGCCTGGCAAGCACAAGGTCCTGAGTTCAATCCCTAGTACCTCAAAACATCAACAACAAAAAAATTGTTGAGAGCATATATTTTATTTTCAAAGCAATCGATCCAAAGCTTGATCCTTCTCCCCACTTATAAACCAGGTCAGCATTTCCCCTGCCATAGACAACAAGGGCCTTGCATGCTCTTGAGCCCATGAGAATTATTCAGCAGAGCCTGTGAGACTTGTTCAGCAGAGTCATGTGGTGGCACATGCCTGGAGTCCTTCAACTATGGAAGGCAGGGGCAGGAGAATCACAAGTTCTCACCCAGCCTGGGCAACACTATTTATTGAATCTCTGTCTCAAAAGGGTCAAGAAGTTCTGGAGATATAGCTCAGTAAACACAAACAAAAAGTTCAGAGTAAGTAATACTAGTTTTCCTGCCTTTCTAATTTCCCTTCCTCTTAAGGACATAAAAATTATTACAGGATCCCAATTTCAACCACAAGCAGTTATAATGTTGAGAGAGAGAAAGAGATCAATTCCAAAGGTTTTTTTGTCTCCTCCATTTACTTGCTGCCTGCCTGCAGAAATCCTTCAGTGACAGTGAGACATAAAACAAACTCTGAGAACTGTGAGATAAATCAACCTTCACGTCGACCAACTTTGCCCCGCCCTCAGTACTGGGGCTGAAGGCCAGGGCCTTCACAGTGAGCTACATCCCCCTTCCTTTGAGATGGGATCTCACTAATTTGCCCACTCAGGTTCACCTTGTGATCCTGCCTCAAGACTTCAGGTGTGTAACATACTGAACTGGAAAAGATAAAAAGTGGAATTGGCATTGAAACAACCCACAGAATGCTCAACGAAACTTGTGTGATGAACCCATTTGGGTCATTTGCCTGGCCGAAGAAATATCCACATTTTCTTATGGGTTTTAAAGAGTGAGGTTGGGGCCAGGGAGATAACTTA